AGAAGCTCATAAAATCTAAAATAGGAAATAGGCATTTTTTTGCATACGAATATTGAATAAGGGTCCGTATTCAAAAAAATGAAGTTGATGATAAGAGCCCAAAAGCAAAACGCTGGATTTCAAATTTAATAACGGCATCTTGTAGAGGAGGAAATGAAGTACTATTTTTTTTGAAATATCTCTTCAAATAAGATCAGGAAAAAATAAAATCATTTTTAGCGAATTTCGGTTTTTTCCGGATATCTCCTGTAGAACTCGGAATTTTTAAAATATCAAAGCGCCATCTCAATGAGCACAAAATTGCGCAACTTTTTATGCATTCATCAAGGGCTCTACAACTTCTAGTTGTTGTAGAATTGTTACCATAATTTGATCTATGAAACTCAAGATATAGAAAAAATTGCTTGGCGGTTTCCAGAAGGTATTTGCAAACCCATTCTAGATAATAAATCAGGACAATCAATAACATTAACTATTTTAAAAACCATACAAAGATCAAAGGTTTATGGACGTTATTCTAATGAAGTTAAGTTAAGAAGCGACATTAAGTCAGCAAAACCAATGTCTTCCCTTGGTTTGCCCAATTTAAATGCAATATATCTGAGGATCTAAGAATTCTTTCAAGACAAATTTTATAAATTTCATAATGTGGTGACCAAACTGGATATGAATATTCCAGTAATGATCTGACAATAGAGCGATAGACAGTTTTTGACGTAAAAATATTGTCAAAGTCTCTCAACGACCTGAGCATAAAACCTAACATCTTTAGGGAATTGTTCGCAATAGTGTCAATATGTTCAGTAAATGTTAGTTCTGAATCAAAGAAAATTCCCAGATCTCTGATTGAGACTATCAGAGATCATAATTTCATCATTAAGAAAATTATTAAGAAAATAAGTATGAATATAAGGTGACTTCTTCCTTGAAAAGGTTTTAATTTTACATTTTCCAATAGGTACTCAAACAAAGTTTATTATTAGTGCACCAGTTATAAAATCTATCAAGGTGACTTTGCAAATTTTGGGCATCCTCTGAGCTTCTTATGACCATAAAACACTTCAAACCATCAGCAAGACAAAGAAAAGAACAATTCTGAAAAACCTCTTTCAGATCATTTCAAAAAAAATGCTAAGAAACAAAAGGCGACAAGTGGCCGCCCTGGGGCACACCAGAGGCAACCGGAAAAGCAGAGGAATGTAATTTTCCATCCTGACCGCCTGCTTTCTGCGTGTTAGCAGACTTCTCAACATTTCGAGGAAGCGTCCATGCACACTATGAGCACCCAATTTGTCTATCATGATTTTATGATCAACTCTGTCGAAGGCCTTGGAGAAGTCAGAATACAGAGTCAACCTGGTACCTAATCTCCAAGCCCTCCAACAGAGCCTCTCCATATTCCAGTAGGTTTGTCAATGTTGACCTACCCCTTACAAAGCCATGCTGTTCTGGCATAATTATATGTTTGAAGTAAGGTGTTAAATAGTCAGTTAATATTGATTCAAATATTTTTGAGAAGAGTGATACTTTTAAAATAGCTCTGTAGTTATTAATATCACTTCTATCACCGTTTTTAAAGATAGGTGAAATATAACTTAACTTCCACTTAGGCCCAGTTTCACAAAGTGTAGTAAACTACTAGTTCTGAGATAACTACTAGTTAAAACGAAAACAGTATTTCACAATTGACGGTTCAACGTGACACCTTTAGTTAACCAGTAGTTGAATTAACCCAAGGATGCGTATGAGTTAACTATAAGTTAGCTGAAATGCTTCGTTTTTTAGGGCAGTTCAAAAGTGTCAAGTTTGAAAAGGTAAAATTATTGAATGAAAAGTTTTGCATTCCTTTTTCCGTTAGTGATACAATTGGAATTAAAATCTGTTCCCACCCTTCTCCAAGCATTTTCTTCTTTTTTTCCACGTTGATGCGCCGCTTTTTTTACATTCCATAATGAACTTATATTTTTGCACGAGAGACACTAATAAATACTCTTCTTCGTTTGAAAAATTCCCAGACCTTTCTCACTTGACTTCATGATTTAAATTTGAACAGGAAACACGACACAAAACCCAATATTGAATTGAATAGGTATCTGTGAAATTTTACTGCCACTGACAAAAATTAATATAATTAATAATGACAAATCACAAAAAGTGACGTTATAGTGAAGTTTAAAGGGGGCCTTTTTTTATTTTTCAAGGTGGTTTTTAAAATTTTGTCAAAAAATCAAGTACCAACCTTTGAGAAATAAAATTCAACCATTAGTCATTTAACCAACGATTGTTTGTTTAGTGTGAAACAGGTTAATGAGCGAAGTCCCAGTTAAACCCTGACCCCTAGTTGACTGACCAGCGCTGGTTACCACCGATTGTGAAACTGGGCCTTACTTGGAAATTGCCCCAACAATACTGCTTTATTAAAGATTTTGCACAAAATCTCCGGGAATACAAAACTACAATTTTTACCTAACAAAACTGCAATGTCATCTGGGACACTACCTAATCTATCCCTCAAGGAAGAAATTTTGTTGAAGACATCAATTATTTCGATTTGCAATGAATTTATGGGAAAATTCGTGCAAGAGTGGTTCAAGACTGTATTTTCAATGTCATTATCCAATTCAGAATCAGTATAAACAGTAGCAAAGTAGTCTTTGAATAAGTTCACTATCTCATTAGTAGAATAATTGCCCTCCCTATTCTCATAAAACATTGAACTTGGAAAGCCACTATTCTCTTTTTGTGGACCGGATGAACCTCCAAAATCCCTTCCTGTCCTGTATTTCAGACTCCATTTGAGTTAAATAGTTTTTGTGACTCATAGCTGAATAACTTCGCCGATCCGCTCTGAGTTTTGAAAAAACCTTACAATCATCAAGATATTAGGTTTCCTTATAGGTTATGTGTGCCTTTTTGTTCAAAATTATTAAGTTTTTCAGATGTGCATCCATCCATTTTGGGATTGTAGGCGTTTTACATCGAAATAGGGGTGTAAATGTCTCAATGGCATAAAAAAGATGAGTATATAAGGTTTTAATTATCGAGTCTATATTATTTATGGACAAAACGGATTCCCAGTCCACACAGGAGATGTAAAGATTTAGTTCTCTAAAGTTACAGAGTTTAAAGTTATAGTAACAAAAGTAATAATTTAGTTGATCTATATTATTTAAGCCAACTTGAATCTCAAAGTCCACAGAAGGATGAGGAGTATCCAATTTTAACAACGGATTATTAGAAAGCAACAAGTTTGCCTTTTCATTGTTACAAAAAATCAAATCAAGGTAATTTCCATACACATTTGATATAGTATTCACTTGAAATAACCTAAAGAATGCCATACAATCAGACAGTTCTGTAGTTTGCTCACTCAGCTTACCAACCGCTCGTGTCCCGTACCTACGTATCATTCACCCAAGACACACCAGGTCTGTTGAAATCACCACATAAATAGACTATTAGATTTTCACAGGATGAAAATGACTCCAGGACTTCGGTAACCGATGAACAATAGTTCAAATAGAACAAAATGTTCATATACATTTTTTTGTACGATCAACTGTTTTCGGAATATAGCGTGATAAAGCGGGAGCGTGCATTTAAAATAGGTGATACTGTATTATACAGGGTGTCCCCGTTCAACTGGTCAAAAATGCTAGGGTATATAGAGGAACCATAGAGAAGTAATTTAGGATGGGACACCGATGGTCGGCAGCGCGTCGTTTCCAAAATACAGGGTGTTGAAATTTAAACAACCCCCTTTCATATCATCTGGAGGTCTAATGCTAGGCTGTTCAAATTTTCAGGGATCATTGATGTAGGAATGATATTTAAAAATTTGCAAAATACACCCCCATTTTCTAGCTGGAACCGCCCCAAAAAAAAATAAAATTTGAAACAAATTGCTTTATTTTTTCAAATTTTATTTTTTTTTGGGATGGTTCCATGTAGAAAATAGGGGTGCAATATACGAATTTTCAAATATCATTCCTGCATCAATAAATCCCTGGAAATTTGAACAGCCTACCATTACCCTTTTGGATGATATGGAAGAGGGTTGTTTAAATTTCAACACCTTGTATTTTGGAAACGACGCACTTTCGACCATCGGTGTCCTGTCTCAAATTACTTCTCTATGGTTCCTCTATATACCCTAGCATTTTTGACCAGTTGAACGGGGACACCCTGTATAATACAGTAGGTATCACCTATTTTGAATGCGCGCTCCCGCTTTATCACGCTATATTTCGAAAAAGGTTGGTCGTACAAAAAAATGTATAGGAAAAATTTTGTAGAAAATACTATTTCACGTAAGTTTTGGTTTCTTCGACGTCAGATGCACTCTGGAAGCGAGATTTTCGCAAAAAAACGATTTTCGTGACCTTTGACTTTCGATATCTCAAGACGCACAAGGGTAAGCATATTCGATTTTTTTGTGCTTCATAAGAACATCAAAACGAAGGTCTCTGCTTGTTCGGCCTTATTCCGCAGATGGCCCTTTTTTTGGTCTAATTTCCCTGGGGTATTATTTTTTCAGAAAGATCACATCGAAAAATTATATATTCATTTATGCCCAATTCACTTGACTCTATACTACTGTCCAAAAAAGTTTCCGTTAGGAAAATGAAGTCAAAATTTTCTGTATAATCATTACATGAAAGAGAACCCAATTTTGTTTTCAGCCTCCTAACAGGCCAACCTGATTGTCTTGGCTTAAAATCAAATTCTCTAAATATAACACCTTGAGGCCAATCACCCGATACATATTTTCTTCCTGATAGTATTTTTTGTCTAAGAGATATTCCCGATTGCTACTTTTCAAATTGTCACTCTGTATACATAATATGGTGTATTTACTATATTCAAATTGTTTTTCAGCTTGATCTGCGTTTTGATTTTATTTACTTGTATTGTTACGGTATTGCGTCGAGAGCGCGTCTTTTCTGGGATATCTTGATATCTATTATATTCGATAAACACATTTTTCTCCAGATAGATCCCGGGTACCCTGTCGACTATGAATAGAGCGTATTACCAATACAAGCCAGTTTGACGAGATTGTTGTGTATCTATAATTTGTGTACGTTTCGATAAGTGATCGGTGAATTTTTATAAAGTCATTTATATTCAATAGAAGTTGTTATTATTTTCGACTGAATATCGGTGGTCGCGGAATCCATAAGAATATTGAAGAAAAAAAAAGAACACCAAGAGTAATTTTAACTTTTTCTTTTATTAAAAACTATTTTATGAAAACATTAAACATTTACTAATTATTACTTTAAGTATTGCCTGTGTGGCGGAAAATCTCATTGGCAGATTGACCAAGGATTATTCAGTTTCCAGCCTCTATCCCTTCGCTACCTAAAATAATAGAAATTTATTTTTAATACCCATTTCCCCGGCTGCCTTTATCAGAGGCGTGCGGTTTTTCTAGATCATGAAAAATTAGGACCTTAATTTAAAATTTTATTTACAATACAAATGTTTTGTAAAATATTTTTGAATGATGGAATCTCCTCTCAAATTATTGAAACATTTTTGATTTATGTAATCTTGTGAAAAATAGAAATGATTTTCCCATATACATAGGTACCTATAGTCTAAGAGCTTGTGACACAAAAGCCTCAGTCATCTGTTAGGTGGCCTGGTATGCCAAGTTCTCGACCAACAAAAAAAAACGTATTGGTTGGCGGAATTTGGTGTGCAGAAGCTAAGGGGGTGAATGAATTTCCACTACTACTAAAATTAGGCTTTTTGTCTTATTATGACGCAGAAGCTTTTTTTTTATAAATAATATGGACCTACTGATGCCTGAACAGGAACGGCTGGCGAGCCTTCCCCTTTCTTCACCATGCCCATCGCGGTATAGGTCGCGTTCGCCAAGGGAAGGGCCTACCCCGCAAGTCAGAAGGACAAGAAAAACTGGAAATTATACATTTTCACTTCCTCGTCCGTTCTGCGCTGGGTTGGCAGCTGGTTGGCGCCCTATTGTTTATTTAAACATATTTGCGAAATTAAAGTTGTTTTTTGTGCAACCGTCCATAAATTTTCTCTACGTACGTTAGAAAGGCATTTTGCGGCCCTGGTATACCAATAACTATTTTCCCTCACTATAATTTAAAGATATAGTGGAATAAAATCACTGCTCTAACTCGCTGTTTTCTGAGGGTGGGTGATTCCGAGGTATAACCAGATGAAACCTATATCATCTTGTAGAGGACACTTTGGGGCATAGGAAATGGGAATATACAACTTTTTTTAATAGGACTGAACTTTGAAATCGGCCCTTAAACGTGACTGAGCTCGAATTTGAAAAACTATGTTTTTCTAAACATTACCCGCTGTATTAATTTAAGCATACAATCTAAAATTCTGATTTTTTGCACACTTATACTTGAAATATGAGCGCTTCTAATGACAGTTCAGGAATTTCGAAAAGGCTCAAGGTTTTTTTGTTAAAAAGTTAGGAATATAGAATTATCAAAATCGTGCATCTTAAACTTCACCCTGCGGGAGCAATATGTATTATTGAAAATTTCTATACATATATATCGAATCAAATGTAGTAAAAACATTGAAGAAGTTTTTAGAAAAAAAATTAAGGTGCTAACTTTAACGGTTATAGAAATATACATTTTTATCGAAGCGCCCTGCGGGCCGATCCTCGGGCCAGGGAGTGGAACTCCCCGAGAGAACAAAATTTTCGTCTTTATCATTCTCGTTTACTTTTCGATTACGTTGACAAGGACAAAACATTCGTTCTATCGGGGAGCTCTACTCCCTGGCCCGAGGATCGGCCACCTGGAGTGCGCTCAGCCCATCGTGAACCGCGTCGCGACGGAATTATTTGTGCATTCATCGAGAGGTGCATTTTCTGACTTTTCCAGTTTTGTGCGTTCGTATGCGAAAAACAGCTAAGTCTGATTTATTATCAAAGTTTGAACCATATTCAACAGTCGCTTCTCTTCGAACTGATGTTAAACAAGGGTGTGACTAAAAAAAGCAACTTAAGCTACTTAAATCAAGAAAAAAAATCTAAGATCTCCCGTGGAAACCGCAGTCTTTTATTCAACATACTATCCGAGAAAATTCTTCATGAAAATATATTTTGCGGGAACTTGTGACGTCACACCGGCTAACCGCCGAAATCATATCCTTCTGTTTGTTCAGTGGTTGAACCGTGCTCTATACTTTAAGTGGTTGCAATTTGCTTTAAGTGAGATCGTTGACTTTTGTCTTGGAAAATTTTACACATATTTTAACTGTGCCTCCGAAGCCAGTATGACGTCACAGCCTAGGCGTTTGTCACTTTAAACCACCCTTATACTCGGAAACGGTTCATCGTAGCAAGATGGGGTTCAAATATTTGTTCTTAGATTTTTTCGCACTAAAACTTCATTTTTGAGTCACAATACCTTCAATTCACTTATAATAGATAGCATGGTACTTATTCAAGGACTAAATGATAAAGCATTTTCAACTTAACTTTTAATGAACTCGCATGTATTTTTCTGAAGCAAATTCTTTCACTTGGTCAAAGGTATGAAGCACTAAGAATAACGGTGGTTTTTATCGGTCAAGTCTTTGGAAAGACGCAGAAGAAGTAACTTCGCAGATACGTATGCGTATGAAGTTTCTGGAAAGAGAAAAGTGATGAAGTTTCGGAATTTTTTAAAATTGTCAGAAAATGAAGAATCCCTATTGAAATTTGTAACTGGTTATATTTTGGAAAATTTAGCTGACAAATAGAAGAAAATCTGATCATCGCTGGTGGTTTTGAAAAACCAGAGTTATGCTTTCCTGTCAACAAGGATGGTGTAACCGTGTAACCGAATTGAAAGATTTGAAATCGAATCATGATGAGACTGATGAACGACTTATAAACCACGTCTTATATGAATATCAGATACTTCACCAAAAAAAGTGTTGATGAAGTCTGCAGATGCAAATGTTCTGGTATTACTTATTTACCACTATTCTGAATTTGTTGAAGTAAGTTCTTTGAAAGAAACCTACCTTTTTATGGAATTAGGACAAGGGAATAAAAAACGGATCATTCCAATAAATAGTGCAGAAACTGGAAAATGAAGTTTATAAATGTTTACCAGCGTTGCATGTGTCAACAGGATGCGATATCACAAATGCAAAGGCAAAAAATGTATTTTCTAAAAATCTTGGAACCTTATATTGCCACCAAATTTGCATAGGCCCTATTCAGAAATAAGAACGAGGCCCTAAAAACCCTCGATGAATTGAGATATCAATTGACCACAACTTCCAATAAATCCGTTTCTGAACTTCTACCCACAGATGATGCATTTTACCAGCATGTACTGAGCTAGGTGTATATATAACAAAAGGAGCTGTATTTATGCGATAAACAAAATTTCAGGTGCATATATCAACTGCGTATATGGATATCCAGTCATATACCTATTATGCCTATACTTGACCCTGTTAACTTTGGTTGGACTAGGAATAATGGAATTTTTGAGCCTGTTTTGATGACTGCTGATCCCATACCAATCGATATAAGGCAACTAATGAATGTCTTCTGCGAAGATAAATTATTATGTCAAAGCGATTGTTTCTGCAAAAGTTGTGAAAATAATATTCCTGATTTATATGAGGATGACGAGCGAGAAAATATTTAAACTAACTTCATAAAAAAGGATTCAATCTCAATCAATTACTTTTTGTTTATAGATTTTTTTATTTTATTTCTAGATGTAACGCTAACGCACTAACGCAGATGATTTCCAGAATGGTAGCCGCTAGCCGCTATCAGCATCAGAGCGCATTTCAAAGCTCCCGGATAAAAATTCATATTTCTATAACCGTTAAAGTTAGCGACCTAATTTTTTTTTCAAAAACTTCGTCAATGTTTTTACTACATTTGATTCGATATATATGTATAGAAATTTTCAATAATTCACATAGCTCGACGCAGGGTGAAGTTTTAGATGCACGATTTTGCTAATTCTGTATTCCTAACTTTTTAACAAAAAAACCTTAAACCTTTTCGAAATTTCTGAACTGTCATTAGAAGCGCTCATGATTCAAGTATAAGTGTGCAAAAAATCAGAATTTTAGATTGTATGCTTAAATTAATACAGCGGGTAATGTTTAGAAAAACGTAGTTTTTCAAATTCGAGCTCAGTCACGTTTAAGGGCCGATTTCAAAATTCAGTCCTACTGAAAAAAGTTCTACATTCCCATTTCCTATGCCCCAGAGTGTCCTCTACAAGATGATATAGGTTTCATCTGGTTATACCTCGGAATCACTCAAAGTCATAATTTCATTGTGATTTTACCCCACTAATAGGGGAGGGTTTTTACATGTTACATGAATAAAAAAATTAAAACCTACGTTTATCCACTGATACATGCATTTTCATTTGCAGGTTACATAGGTTTATAATTCAATTCATCTTACGTCATTCTTCGCAAATTGAATTCGTCGTAAAGTCAATTCATTGTATTGTTTATTCGTCGTATAGGTAATTTGTCGTATACGTCAATTCGTTTTATATTTTATATAAGGTATATAACCCAAACTAACCAGGTTATTACCGGTAAGTTTGATGTCTGATTAAAATTACAAACTATTAACACGTTAATTTGTCGTACCTATTGTCAATTATTCGTCGTATAGGAAATTAGTTAAGCACATGGATAGGAACATGGAATGTACTAAGCTGGTATAGACCAGGTACAGCAACAATGACGGTCCAGTCTATCCAAAAATATTCTCAGAGAGCCTTCGAAGAATAACTGAAACTGACAGTATAGAATCTAGTTGGGCGCAGATAAAGAAAAGCATCGTAGAAGCAAACGAGATCGTATCTCGGCCCAAAACCAAAACCCAAGCGGCACCCCTGGTTTGATGAGGAGTGTCAAAATCTTAGCATCATTAAAACGGAAGCTCGAATCAAAATGCTTCATAGTCCATTAGAACCGACGACAGCTAGATTTAACGAATTGAGAACACAACTACGTATACTGATCAGGAAAAAGAAAAAAGAGCACGAGACAGAAAAAGTTCTCAACTTACAGAATGACTCCAGAACGGCAATGCAAGGAGACTTTACAACGAAGTAAGTGCAGGGGCGGATACAGGCCTTTTGAAAGGGGGGGGGGGCAGTTTAAGTTAAAGTGAAACAAATTAAGTCAGATTGGGTTAGTTTGGGTTAGTTTTGGCGGCGCATTGTGCAAGATACGGTTTTTCGAAGGAATGGCCCATAAAAATATGGGAATGGAAGAACTACTTAGGAGAATAAGGTGATTTCAAATAGGTAGGTACAGGGTGATTCATTAAGAATGGCACTCGGCCATATCTCAAGAACTATTCATCGTAGTCATGTCGGAAAAAAATTATCCCATAAATATGGCCAAGAGAAAATGCTGGAAATATATTTCAGCTTTCTAAAATGACCGTAAGGGGGCGTAACCCAACTGTCAAAGTACAAAAATAGTTTTATTTTTTAAATTTCAAATGGAAACGTATCTCAGAAATGCTAACAATAGATTTTTGATGAAATTTCACACAATTTTGATTCATGACTTTTTACTATAACTTATCGGATAAGACAGTTATGAGCTGTCAAATATTGCAACTTGGGAACACGAATAACTTCAAAACGACTCAACGAATTGGGTCGATCTTAGGTTCGTTGGAAAGACAAGAGTCTGTTCTTTAATTTTATTGTAAAGAAATCCAACTTCAGTTAGTTGGACTGACTCTATGGGTGGATTGAATTTTTCTAATTTTTCTTGAAATTTTCAAATGGAACGGTATATTTAAGATATGTTCAATCGATTTTTGAGGATGTTTTACACAGTTTTTCTTTATTAAACCTTCCTACAAACGAATTCCAGAGAGTGTTAAATTTAATTTTATCAAAAATAATCAATATGTTTGAAAAAGCCCTCGTAAATAATGACTTTGCTTTTCTGACAGTTGATTGTCATCATTGATGAATGTCAAATAATGGAAAAAGTGCGTTAGGAAATTATAATAGTAACTATAGTATGCAATGATCATGTAATGATAGCCATTAATACACGAGCATGTTGTAGGATACGAAACTTGAAGAAGAAATACATACTTATTTTGAGAATAGTAAACTGCTCAAGTGGTGGTGCCATCTATTATTAATTTTGGAAATTAAAATCTAGACGTCATTTCCGCATAAATTCGGCACCCGCGTACTGTGGATTTATTCATTTTTCATTCTGCTCTTTCTCTGAATACTAACAGAGATTATCCAAAACCAGTCTATTATTTTTTGTATAAGCATTGTCCATTTTCAAAATAATTAGATTTTAGTGGCTGCGATTGCTGCATTTCCATTACATTCATGCAGGGGGGCTTTATTTGAAATTGATGCAACTTTGCGTACACGCAAATATGACGCAAATGACGTCATTTTCAATTGAAAAATTGCATGTCAAATAAGCCGTGCACCAATTTTCAATCCCAAATAACGTCATTTGCGTGTACGCAAAGCTGCATCAATTTCAAATAAAGCCCCCCAGAACCTCAAGGATGTCCTGTGCTTCTCCATTTGGGAAATGCATTTTGACTTTAGAAAATAGCGTTTGAATTTTCAAAAATATGTCAGCCTGACATACTTAACTGGTATCTGCTCAATTTACGGGGGCTTTTTCATAAATACTGATTATTTTTAATAAAATTAATTTTAACACTCTCTGGAATTCGTTTGTAGGAAGATATAATAAAGAAACACTGTGTAAAACATCCTCAAAAATCGATTTAACATGTCTTAAATATACCGTTCCAATTGAAAATTTTAAGAAAAATTGGAAACATTCAATTGTTTTCAAATATTGACGCATAGCGTCAGTCCTACTAACCAGAAATTGAATTTTTCACAACAAAGTTAAAGAACAGACTCTTGTCTTTCCAACGAACCTAAGATCGACCAGATTTGTTGAGTCGTTTTGAAGTTATCCGTTTTCTTGTGTTGCAATATTTGACAGCTCATAACTATCTTATCCGATAAGTTATGGTAAAAAGTCATGCATCAAAATTGTGTGAAATTTCATCAAAAATCTATTGCTAGCATTTTTGAGATACGTTTCCATTTGAAATTTAAAAAATAAAACCATTTTTGTACTTTGACAGTTGGGTTACGCCCCCTTACGGTCATTTTAGAAAGCTGAAATATATTTCCAGCATTTTCTCTTGGCCATATTTATGGGATAATTTTTTTTCCGACAAGACTACGATGAATAGTTTTCGAGATATGGCCGAGTGCCATTCTTAATGAATCACCCTGTACATAATATTATTGATTTTATATGAATATTTATTTATTAGAACAAAAAAAAAAAAAAAAAACATCAACTCAACCACTACTTAGGTAGTGACAATAGTGCTAGTTTATTGAATTTAATAAACAACAAACTTTAACACAACCCAAACTGCTTTAAAGCTAGTATAAATATTTGCATTCTATTATTCAATAATAGGTAGAAAAAATGACAAGATACATAGGAACACTAAAAAAACCACTGAAAATAAATATTATACTTTGAAACGTGGGTTTCCCAATCCTAAGTATCATGAGCTTATAAACTCCAAAAACTGGAATGATATACTTTTTGAGGTTAAAGTTCTTGGGACAAAAGTGGGATTTTTTCATAGGCTTCCAGCTTTCTTAAACATTCTTAAAACTTAAAATATGGTTTTGTTTTCTTTTTCTTTTTTTTTAAATTTTATTATTTTATTTAAAAAAAAGGGGGGGGGGCAGCCAAGACCCACCCTGGGTTGTAGTGCTACGGAGTAAGTGAGTAAGTAAGCATAGGTAATTAGTCGTATACGTCAATTCGTCGTATTTCAAGTATATTGTCTTAATGTTAAAATGTATAAATTTACACTATTTCTGTTTAATCAGACATTGCCAAACCAACCGATAATAACCCGGTTAGTTTGGGTTAGTTTGCAATTTTAATCAGACTGATTAAAATTGCAAACAATTAACACGTTGGCTACCACATGAGTCACCAGTGATGCATAAAATTTGGTTGCTTTTATACTGACAGGGATGTTTGACCCGATACGACTAATACGAGCTAGTCGACGTTACTTCACGACAAATTGACGTTTACGACGAATTGACCTTACGAAAAATAGACGTATACGCCGAATCAACGATAAGACGAATTGACTTATACGACGAATTGATTTACTGTACAACTTATTGATTTACGACGAATTGACGGTGACCCAGGTTACATAGCTACTAAATATTTTGGACAATTTGAGAAAAAAAAAACTCACATCAGAATTGACTCGACATAAACATACTTTGATCGAATAGCTACGATACCAATATGTACTTCAGTTTTTCTTACTGTTTGTGCTTTTTTAAATCTTGAAGATTGCGGTTTGGATCGTAGATGAAGGTCGCTTGACACCGCTTTGGTTCCAAGGGAATCTTTGGAAGTTGAAGACATATTGGAGGAAAATGGGAGATTTGAAAAAGAACAGGAACAGGACCATGAAGAGATACAAAACTGTAAATGTTTAATAGCCGTTAGGTACCTCATAATGTTGTTTTAGTATTTAGTATCTATGTATGTGACCTGCGGATGAAATTGCATATATCACTTAATAAACGTTTGTATTATTTTTTTTATTCATGTTAAAACCCCCCCACAGGTCTTTTAATTATAGCGAGGATAAAAACAACTTTAGTTCCGCAATAACATATGTTTAAATAAACAAAAGGGCGCCAACCGACTGCGAAACAAACGCAGAACGGACGAGGAAATGGAAATGTATAATTTCAAGTTCTTTTCCGTTCTTCCGACTTCTGTGGTAGGACCTTCCCTTTACGTCTTAGAACGCGGTGGGCATGGTGAAAGGGGGGATAGGCCTGCCAACAGGTCCATATTATGTATTTACAGCAAAAAAAAGCTTCTGACTCGACTCATAAGGCAAAAAGCCTAATTTTGAGATAGTGAAAATTCATTCACCCCCCCAGCTTCTGCACACCTAAACCCGGTAACCAATACGGTTTCTTGTTGGTCGAGGACTTGGGATACCAGGCCACCAAAAAACGACCGTCTAACAGATGACTGAAGCTTTTGTCACGAGCTCTCGTAGTACTAACTTTCCCATTATATACATCTCACTCACCCTTATCAATTTCCATTACGACTCCCATCTCATCCTCAATTTTCTCATCTATTTCCTCCTCCATTTCTTCCACGGTTTCCTCATCTTCTATCTTCTCCTCCATTTTCTTTATCATTTCGTCCTTGATTCCCTGCCTTTTTTTCTCCAAGATTTTTTCCTCAATTTCCCCGTCGGTTTCCTTATCGTCTATTTTCTCCTTGATTGCCTCTCCGAGTTCCGTCTTGATTTCCCCTTCCATTCCCTCCTCGATTTTCCCATTCTCTATTTCCTTTTGGATTTCCCCCTCTATTTTTCCCTCGATTTCCTCCTGAATTTCATCCCAGGTGTTCTCCTCCACTTTTTTCTTGATTTCCTCGGCATTGTCTTCCCAAGTTTTCTTCTCCATTACGTCCTCGAGTTTCTCCTCGATTTCCTCATTGGTGTCCTGATCCTCTATTTCCTCCTTCATTTTCCTTTCGAATTCCTCCTGTATTTTCTCTTCGATTTCTTCCCGAATTTCTTCCCAGGTGTTCTCCTCAACTTTCTCCTTGATTTCCTCGACAATTTCTTTCCAGGTTTTCTTCTTCATTACCTCCCCGAGTTCTCCCTTGATTTCCTCCTCGGTTTCCCCATCCTCAATTTCCTCCTCCATTTTCCTTTCGAATTCCCCCTCTATTTTCTCCTCGATTTTCTCCTGAATTTCTTCCCAGGTTTTCTCCTCTTCTTTCTCCTTGATTTCCTCGACAATTTCTTCCCAGGTTTTCTTCTTCATTACCTCCCCGAGTTCCTCCTCAATTTTCTCCTCGGTTTTCCCATCCTTAATTTCCTCCTCCATTTTCCTTTCGAATTCCCCCTCTATTTTCTCCTCGATTTCCTCCTGAATTTCTTCCCAGGTTTTCTCCTTGACTTTCTCTTTGATTTCCTCGACAATTTCTTCCCAGGTTTTCTTCTTCATAACCTCCTCGAGTTCCTCCTCGATTTTCCCTTCCCTTATTTCTTCCTCCATTTTCTTTTCGAATTCCCCCTCTATATTCTCCTCGATTTCCTCCTGAATTTCTTCCCAGGTTTTCTCCTTGACTTTCTCTTTGATTTCCTCGACAATCTCTTCCCAGGTTTTCTTCTTCATTACCTCCTCGAGTTCCCCCTCGGTTTCCCCACCCTCAATTTCCTCCTCCATTTTCCTTTCAAATTGCCTCTCTATTTTCCCCTCGATTTCCTCCTGAATTTCTTCCCAGGTTTTCTCATCCACTTTCTCCTTGATTTCCTCTACAATTTCTCCCCAGGTTTTCTTCTTCATTACCTCCTCGAGTTCCTCCTTGATTTCCCCCTCGATTTCCTTCTCGGTTTCCCCATCCTTCATTTCCACATCCATATCCCTTTCGAATTCCCCCTCTATTTTCTCCTCGATTTTTTCCTGAATTTCTTCCCAAGTTTTCTCCTTGATTCCCTCGACAATTTCTTCCCAGGTTTTCTTCTTCATTACCTCCTCGAGTTCCTCCTTGATTTCCCCCTCGATTTCCTTCTCGGTTTCCCCATCCTCCATTTCCACATCCATTTCCCTTTCGAATCCCCCCTCTATTTTCTCCTCGATTTTTTCCTGAATTTCTTCCCAAGTTTTCTCCTTGATTCCCTCGACAATTTCTTCCCAGGTTTTCTTGTTCATTACCTCCTCGAGTTCCTCCTTGATTTCCCCCTCGATTTCCTTCTCGGTTTTCCCATCCTCCATTTCCACATCCATTTTCCTTTCGAATTCCCCCTCTATTTTCTCCTCGATTTTTTCCTGAATTTCTTCCCAGGTTTTCTTCTTGATTTCCTCGACAATTTCTTCCCAGGTTTCCTTCTTCATCACCTCCTTGAGTTCCTCCTTGATTTCCCCCGCGAGTTCCTTCTCGGTTTCCCCATCCTCTATTTCCTCCTCCATTTTCCTTTCGAATCCCACCTCTATTTTCTCCTCGATTTCCTCCTGTATTTCTCCCCAAGTTTTCTCCTCTACTTTCTCCTTCATTTCCTCGGCAATTTCTTCCCAGGTTTTCTCCTTCACCTTCTCCTCTATTTCCTCTTCCATTTTCCTTTCGACTTCCACTTCCATTTTATCCTCGATTTCTTCCTGTATGTCTTCCCAGGTTTTCTCCTCCACTTTCTCCTCGATTTCCTTCCGGGTTTCCTGCGCGGTTCCGTCCTCGGTTTCTTCCTCGCTTTTCTTCTTGCTTTCATCCTTTTTTTTCTCCTCGATTTCTTCCTCACTTGAGGAACTTGAGGAAAAATGTCCAAAAATCATCTCCTCTAAAAAAGAAATTGTTCGTTAAAATGTCTCCATTCACTTATCAATTCATCTACAACCTGTCGGATCTATACGAACTTGATCTTCAACCAGTTCAAATCTACTGGAAACCTAAAAATAAGTAAATTAATATCCATGCTTAGAGCAAGTAATGATAATAATAATTTTTACTCAATTTTCAGTAAATTAAATTATTATTACCTAGTTTTTCCAACTATGGATTTTAAATTCAATTTTCATCAAGTATTGGCTCAATCAATTCAATATAAGTAAATTTATTTAAAAATCCAACTCCAATCTATAAACCAGTGGCGTAACTTCAGAATTTGGACCTGGGGGCAGAGTGGTTTGGCGAGGCCCTGTTTGTCTAAAGGCCCCCACATTCCGTTATTTATCATTCGTTCGAATCACTGCGATTCGGAAAGTCGTGCTAAATCATAGAGCTGTTTTTCCCACACATTATGTGAATCCCATACATACTTATCTTCAGTCGCTCACGCACAATGGACAGAAGAAAATTATTAGCAGTGGCGGTGGCAGGTTCGGTTTCAAGATAGTAATATACTCTAAAGACTTTATACGCCATAAACAAGGAGAGTATCTATGCAAATCATTCATATCTATGATACTCTTTTTATTGAGGGCATTTTGATCCATGTTTAGTAAAAATTTGAACACACACACGACAGAGTCCTTATTTTTGGAACAGGGGAGCAGCGTTCCCAGGAGAACGAGGGTTATGTCTTTGCTTAATATATTATAACTTGTATATCATTGAGAAAGACAGAACACTCGTTCGCCTGAGAACGCTGCTCCTCTGTTTCAAGAATAAGGACCCTGGTGCCAACTCTTCGCTCGCCGCTCATTAAAAAACACGACGATTTTGAAGGAATTTCCCCACACCCTTCAGTTTGGTCTGTCAAAAGACAAACCTAGGGCCAAATTATGGACCGAGCGGTAATGTCATTGGCAAATTTATCCTGTTGGTAAAACTAAAAATTGAATTCAATTTTTAGTTTTACCAGCCAAAGAAATTACCAATCGGTCCATAATTTGGCTCTAAGGCCCGGTTTATTCATCCTCTGATAAACTTGCTGGTAACTATCTGCAAGATAAATTGACTGTTCTTTAATTCTGGTCTGCGGATAATTAGTTGACCAATGGGATTACATATTACGTTTATATCCGTCAGATTGCATACCTGACAGTTTATCAGAAGGTGAATAAACCGGCCCTAACTCATAAGAACCAAAAAATAATTATTTTGCGGAAACCGCCTACCATCTTCCACGCTAATAGCTAACATTACCGATCGCGATTTTACTTTTTGCGGAATACCTTCGTTTTCCAAATAAATGTGGGTAGTAAATAGATAAGTGAGTCAGCAAAATTTTTAATTCAAAAGAAAAACTCTTTTAAGTCTTCCTCCATAAATACTTTATTTGTTTTCAATTAAACGGCCCTACATGTTTCGGGATTAGTAAATCCCATCATCAGGGGCAATAAATTAGCTCATAATGTTAACAGGAATGCATGCATATCATAGGCTGCCAGATCATGCTGAAAAATTTAAATGAGTTTTTTTTAACATGATCTATGATATCCAGGAAGACTTTTTTTTTTAAATTTAAATTTCAACTCCACTTTGAGATATGGACTACTTTTTAAATTTAAAATTTTTAATGATTTTCGTATTTTCTTGATTACAATCAGGTTTCGTAAGACATTATTCTAAGAATTCTAAGACCGGCACGTTGGCGCTTTGATAAAGGACGACAGGACGCCCTACTCAAAGCCAAGCAACGCGTTGTCGGGTTGCAGATTGGATGGGTGACCGCAGTAGTACGGGACGGTAGCCCGCCCGCGCTGCCGCCAATCATCTGATCTGCAAGTATGAATGAGAAGTATGAATGAGAAGGAGTAGAGCCCATACGAATGACATACAAAAAGCCTATAAAGGCTGCAGTGTAGAGTATGGGCTCGAAAGGGTGAAACCAAAAAAAAAAAAATCTAAAAAAAAAAAAAAAGAATCGTACGAATATGATTTTTGACTGTAAAATTACTTTTACATGGGACCTCGGATGGGTCCCAAAAGCCTCTGGGCCCGGGGGCCACGGCCCCCTCTGCCCCCTCGGTAGTTACGCCACTGCTATAAACTTACAGCTTTATAATCACTACGTAGTAAGTAGAGCAATTCCTTCTGGATCATTATGTTATCCTTGTTTTCGTTGGCCAATATTTTCCTGAATCTATTCTTTTTGACATTCTTCAAAGGAGGAGTATATCCATGGAGAGATTCCTTGGTATAACGTTCCAGTGGCTCTGCGTAACACTCTAGAACAGAGCCGACATCTGCAGTCTGAAAATATAAAATTGAACAGGAGTTTATATTTTATGAATAAACGTGCAGTTTCGAATAAGTACAGGGGTAGGCATAAGTGAACTGGCAAATTTGCACAAATTAAAAAAAAAATCAAGTGCCATTTCACTGGAAAATAACAATCTAACCATGCAACAAAACCGGTATTGATCTGTCTCGAGGTCGACAAGCATACTAACAAAATACTAACTTATGCCCAGCCGACCGCGTTGCTAGCTAACGTATTCTACGTGAAATCCGAGCGAGAGCGGTGGAAATGTTTTGGAAGCTGGCGAAGCTGCCAGGTGACTTATGCCTACCCCTGTATATACGTACTTTGAAAAAAATAGAGTCACTGGTTCTGTCTTTTCTGTAAGATTCCATAATTGTGGGCAGTGTTTTGAGGTATGCATAAAACTTTTTGTTTTCAAAGAATACAAAGCCAGTTCCTGTTTCGACGTTTAGGTCTATCTTGAGTTTTCTCGTTAACTCTTCTGGCTTCGTTTGAAGGAGCTCTCTCAATTTCTCTGCTTCTTCCTGAAAAATGTTTCTAAATTATTTTTGAATGAAGTCGTAAGCCAAAATATTTTATGAGAATCCCGTCAATCCTTCAATTGTCCTCAATTCTTCTTCAATTAAAATATTTTATGTTGTGCTGGTGGATACGCGAATTACGTTGTGGAACCACAAAAACGACTTTTTAAAAACAAACTTTTATTTTTCGGACCGACCTTATGCGTACGGATATATACAGATGAAAAGTGAAAACTGCCTTGAAAATAATAAGTGGTTCATTTTATAAAGTAATTAAGCAAATGCAGCAGATTAATATAATAAGCTAAGCAATTCTGAGCATGTAACTCCTCCCTTTTTAATTGGGCATATAAACTTTTTATGTTTTTAGGACCCAAAATATAGGCCAGGAAAGAGAGGTTGAACCTCGCAAACTCGACACAAGTTCTGTTTTATTTTTTTTTTTCTAGCAGGACTAACTTTTTCCAACAAAATTTCATCCTGGAACATTCCCTTTCATCTCCCTCTGAAGGTGTTTTTTTTTGTGGTTTTTCCGAAACTTAGCGCTTCTTGTAAGTTTTACAAAAAAATACTTTCTTAGCAAATTAGAGAGGACTAAATTCTCTACAATTTATCCAGTGATAGCATATGTCTATCACCTACCCTTCAGTCGGGGTGGCGCTCTAAAGTTGAATGACCTTGATAAAAGATGTTTTGGAAATTATTTTTTTTTTTACTGAACAGTAAAGCGAATTCACCACAAAGCAAATACTCATAAGTAATTGGCTGATTTTTTGTTATATGTTTTATTTAAAAATAGTAACCCGTTTAAGATATACAGGGTGTTGAAATTTAAACAACCCCCTTTCATATCATCTGAAGGGTTAATGCTGTTCAAATTTTCAGGGATAATTGATGTTAGAATGATATTGAAAAATTCGTATAATGCACCACCTGGAACCACCCCAAAAAAAGTAGAATTTCAAAAAAAATGCTTTTTTTCATTTTCTTGCACAAAATGCCCTCTATGTGAATGGTTCAAATATTATTTTGTGCACACCTCCGACATACATGCATAGACAACAATAGTATATTACAATCCGAGACGGAAAATACTTCATTGCTGGTCGAGAGGTTATTATAGTTTATCGAGACGCGAAGCGTCGAGATAAACTCAACCTCGAGACAGAAATGAAGTTTTCCGTCGAGGTTTGTATACTTTTTTATTTTCAACCCTTAATTTTCTGATGCAAAAACTAAAGATTCTGTTATACGAAATTTTCATATAGTGTAAAACTGGCCTTAGAAAAAAATATTTCACTTTTTTTGTCAATGTCATCAATTTTGACGATCTCAAAGGCCCTGTAAAGGCCAAAACAAAAGACGAAACCACAGGAAACCGCAAAATCAACAACCATAGATAAGATCAACAACGCCTTAACGACGGTAGTTTTCGCTCAGTATTTTTGCGGAAATAATAGATTTTCACTAGATTTCTCCCCGTTCTCCCCAAAGAAATGATTTCGGAAAGTGAAGATGAAGCGATGGATTGTACCCCACCTGAATTAAAAGAAGCAGCAGACAGGATTGGAGAGAGTTTGCTTCCAGCAAAAAGCAAATTTCGGTACGAAAAGGCTTTTCAAATATTCGAAGCATGGTGTAGCCAGAAAGGAACGAGAAATACTGCCTCGGAGACCGTTTTGTTGGCGTATTTTGGCGAATTATCTAAGGAAAAGAAGCCTTCGACTTTATGGTCGACTTACAGTATGTTGAAAACCATGATTAAATTGAAAGAGAAAGTTGATATCTCCAATTACGCAAAACTTATAGCTTTTTTGAAGCGGCAAAATCTGGGCTTTCAGCCGAAAAAGTCGAGCGTTTTTTCCAGAGAAAACATTAACGAGTTCCTCACGAAGGCAGCTGAAGAATTCATTAGCATCAAGGTAGGTTTTCAAAAAATATACAAAGAAGATAAAAATGCGAAAATCAAAATGATTTTCTGTATGCTATAGCTAGGTTACCCATTTTATTTTTATCTGGTTTCAGGTAGCGCTAATTGTTGGTGTGTCGGGTGCATGTAGGAGCGATGAACTAGTCAAGATGAAAATGGAGCACGTCAACGTTTTGGAAGGAAAGATCGCTATAGAAATTCCACACACAAAAACTTACACAAGTCGATCGTTTATCATAAGCGATCCAGATTGGGTTGCTATTTTCCACAAATACCTCACTTTGCGGAAAAATTTGAAAAATGACAGGTTATTTGTTCAATGGCGAAATGGGAAATTACATAACCAAGCAATTGGCTATCATTCAATCTCAAAATTTCCACATAAAATAGCTGCTTTTTTGAAGCTTCCAAAAATTGAAACTTTTACAGGGCATGCTTTTCGTCGTACTTCCGCAACCTTATTGGTTGACAACGGGGCCGATCTATTGCAACTCAAAAGACTGGGAGGGTGGAAATCGAGCACGGTTGCTGAAGGCTACATAGAGGCATCTTTGGAGAACAAAAGTAAGACTGCTCTGATGCTATCCTCTACTTCCAAAGGTATTCAGTTGTCCAGTGCATCCACAAGTACATCACATGCGGAAACTCATCCGCAAGCGCAAGAGATAATAGTTCCAAACGAAACACAATTCCAACAGGATGGTCTCAAGATTTCCATTATAAACAACAATGCTAATTTAACAATTAATGTAAATAAGTGAATAGATTTAATTAGTTCCATGTAATACATGTGGTTTTATTATTATATGTGAGAGCTGTATGAAAATTATCAATTTGGAACGAGCAGGGAAATGGGGACGGAAAAGCATTTGCCGTCCCGGACGGAAAATGCTTTTCCGTCCTAGGCAGGCATATGCATTACCGTCCCGATAAATGTCAAAGTCCAGAAATGTGACACTTTCAAGATTTTGAAAAACCTGCAATGTCAACATTACATATGTGGTTGAAAATAAAAGCATTTTTCGAGTACAACCCCACTAGACGGAAAAAAATATATTAAGGGGGTGATAAAAAAATAATTTTTTTTTGGCTTTTTGTTTCAGCGCACTAAATAAGCTTTCCAAAAATATATCTATTATTGCAACATCTCTCTAGAACCTACCCCTGCCCTTTATGGAAGTTGTCGCAACCACTCTTTTGCGATTATTTTGTTACCTATGCATTGTATGGAAAGGAAATTTATACGAAATTGCAGACCACCATTTGCTCTATAAATAGGTTCCTAATGCAATTTTTTTATGTCTTGCAATTGTTACGCCACAGTGGCGTCCGAAAGCTCAGAAATTTTATAGCGAATTCCAGTTTTATTTCATTATCTCGTCACCTATTCACAGATTTTGCACCCCCCCAACCGAGGAGATGGGAGGAAAAAATTACATAGATTAACGTGTAGTAGGCCTACTGGGGACACCACAATAAAAAAACGCACCTCTTGAGGTAGAGTACCTACATGGTTCCCACGCCATAGTTGGGTGGTGTGGAAACAACTACAAGCTGTCGATATCGCCACTGTATTTTATTGGTTGGAACATAGAGCTTAAATTGCATGAAATATAATTGGTATATACTTAATACGGTTGTAATAAATCAAGTAGATAGGCCCTTATAACATGAGCTGAAGACCATTGACGAAAAAAACAAAAACAAAACAAAAATGGAGTTTGCGTGTCGTTTTCCGACATTTGGGCTACCGTTGTGGCTGAAAGGTGGCAAGAACATAGAAAGTGCATAGAGCATAATGAGTAAACAAATTTCTGGCCTTCCATTTAGCAAACGAATTTTAGCGATAAAATGTTTAGGTGACGAGATAATGGAATAAAACTGGAATCCACTTCTGAATTGCTGAACTTTGGGACGTCACTGTAGCGTAACGATTGCAAATATAAAGAAAATGCATCAAGACCTTATTTGTAGAGCATATGGTGGTCTTCAATTTCGTATAAATTTCCTTCCCATACAATGCATATGTAACGAAATAATCGCTAAAGAGTGGTTGCGACAACTTCCATAAGGGGCAGGGGTAGTTTCCAGAGGGATGTTGCAATAAGTAGATATATTTTTGGAAAGCTTATTTAGTGCGCTACTGACCTATGTGAAACAAAAAGCCAAAAAAAAAATCACCCCTTTGATATTTTTTTTCCGTCTAGTGGGGTTGTACTAGAAAAATGATTTTGGTGCCTACGCATGTTTGTCGAAGGTGTGCACAAAAAAATATTTGAATCATCTACATAGAGGGCATTGTGTGCGAGAAAATGAAAAAAAAGGCATTTTTTTTCAAATTTCATTTTTTTTGGGGTGGTTTCAGGTAGAAAATGGGGGTGCATTATACAAATTTTTCAATATCATTCTTACATCAATAATCCTTGAAAAATTGAACAGCCTAGCATTAGCCCTTCAGATGATATGAAAGGGGGTTGTTTAAATTTCAATACCTTGTATATGGTTTGTGGTGAATTCGCTCTACTGTTCAGTAAAAAAAAAATCCAAAACATCTTTTTTCAAGGTCATTCAAAGGACCCCGCCCGCACACATCTTATGGGTTTTTGGTTTTCTGTCAAACTCAATGAAATTTTGATATGTGGTATATCGTGACTTACTGATAAAAAGTTCTCATGGGCCCAACCCGATACTATGATTAGTTTCCGAAATACAGGTGGTTTAATGTTCAAGAAATGTACACATTTTATATGCATTCACATCTACCAGTCACCTATTATTAGGTCTGTCAGAGTGAATTTCATTGGTTGTAACTAGTTTTCTGACTGTTTCTGACTGTTTTCGACCAATCAAATTCGCTCTGACAAGTTTGTGATTTTTGCAGAAACAGACCTATTATTAGGTGACAGGTAGATTGTGAATACATATAAAATGTATACATTTCTTGGACATAAAAGTACCTGTATCTCAAAAACTAATCATAGGATTGGTTCGGGTCCATGAGAAATTTTTATCAGGAAGTCAAGGTCTAACACATATCAAAATTTCATTGAGTTTGACAGAAAACCAAAAACCC